GCGATCTCGGCTCACCGCAACCTCCGCCTCCTGGGTTCAGACAATTCTCCTGCCTCAGCCTCCTGAGTAGCTGGGATTACAGGCACGTGCCACCATGCCCAGCTAATTTTTTGTAGTTTTTTAGTAGAGACGGGGTTTCACCATGTTGACCAGGATGGTCTTGATCTCTTAACCTCGTGATCCACCCGCCTCGGCCTCCCAAAGTGCTGGGATTACATATTTTTAATTTTTGTTGGTACATACTAGACATATATATTTAAGGGGTACATGAGATGTTTTGATAGAGGCATGGAATATGAAATAATCACATCATCTAGAATAGGATATCTATCTCCTTAATGATTTATCCTTTGTGTTACAAATGTTATTAAGATGTAATCAAATTAAGTTTGAAAAATGAGTAGGCCATAACCAGTTATCAGCTATGACAGCTTTCTAATTTTATCACATTGATAAAATTCTGGGTAAATTTGGGTTTTAGGGCCACATTGCTGGGAATGAAATGGAACCTTATTTCACTGGCTATTTAGTGTAGTGCCTCACATACTTCTAGTCTTCTAATTTATCCATCTTCTCCCTTCTTTTTGGGACTTTGTGCATGCAGCTCTTCTTCTAGAAAGGCCTTTTTCTTTCTTTTGGCTTAGCAGCTCTTTTAGATACTATTTTTAGGAATCATATGCTACAGAAAGCCACCTCTGATCCCATTGATTGGGCTATATTTCTTCATGTGCATTTTCTTACATTACCTGTGCTTTTCCATGGTAACAGTCATCACTCTGTAATACAGTTAACTGTTCTTGTTTGTAAGCCTGAGGGGCAATCTTACTTTTGTTCATCTTTGTATCTTTAGTACTAAGTACAAAGCTAATAAGTAGTTAAGTCTGGACCCAGTTATACATGTGCGGATGCTGAGAATCAGTCTTTTTTAGAATATAGTATAGTAGATCCCTTTTCTCTGCTCTGTACCCATGGGGAGTCTGTGATATATTATTTATTTATTTTTAATTAAAGTTTTTATCTACTTTAATCTGAATAATAATGATACTGTTATTTACTAATTGACTTTTTAAAAAGTACTTTACTGTGGTTGGAATACTGTAAGACAACTTAGTTTTCAAGAAGTTTAGTTAATGTAGACAGACTTGATCACACATATGTAAAGTCAGATTTAAACCATAGTCCTTGTGACAATAAAGTCCATGTTCTTAGATCAATGTGAAGGTGGGTGTTATGTGAAACTGTGAGCATAGAGATCTCCCAGGGAGAGTTTATAGACTGAGAGGAGTAGAGAATAGAAGATAGCCTCAAGGAGAAGGAATCCATCTTGTACTTTTCCCATGGCTCTTAATTTGAGTTAATATATATGTGTGTGTATATATACACACACCACATATATATAATATGGGGCTTCAGTGTGTTGCTTAGACTGGCCTTGAATTCCTGGGCTCAAATGATCCTCCCACCTCAGCCTCCTGAGTAGGTGGGACTTTGGTGTATGCCACTGCACCTGGCTGATGTGCAGTTTTGTTTTGTTTTAATGAGACAGGGTCTCTCTCACTCTGTCACCCAGGATGGAATGTAGTGGCATGATCATGCCTCACTGCAGCTTTGAACTCCTGGGCACAAGTGATCTTCTTGCTTCAGCCTCCCAAGTAGATGGGACTATAGGCGTGTACCACCACACTTGGCTAATTTGATTTTTTGTGTTTTGTTTTTGTTTTGTTTTGAGATATGGTCTCACTCCATCACCCAGGCTGGAGTGCAGTGGCACGAACTTGGCTCACTGTAATTTCTGCCTCCCAGGCTCAAGTGATCCCCCACCTCAGCCTCCCAAGCAGCTGAGACAACAGGTTCATGCTACCACACCCAGCTAATTTTTAAAAATTTTTGGTAGAAACGGAGTTTTACCACATTGCCCAGCCCGGCTCAAGTGATCTGCCCACCTTGGCTTCCCAAAGTGTTAGGATTACAGGCGTGAGCCCCTGTGCCTAGCCTGATGTGCAGCTTTATTGTTCTCTTTTTTCTAGAGGTTCGTATCGCTGCTGTGGAGGCCCTCTGCATGTTGGCCCAGTCTTCACCCTCTTTTGCTGAGAAGTGCCTTGATTTCCTGGTTGACATGTTCAATGATGAAATTGAAGAAGTACGTCTGCAGTCCATACATACCATGAGAAAAATCTCTAACAATATCACCCTCCGAGAAGATCAGCTTGACACTGTCTTGGCTGTGCTAGAGGTGAGTATTTCTAGTTTGTTACTCATTTCTTCATACCTGCCCCCAGCTGTTAAAAATCAGGTATTGTGCTAGGCATTGGTGACAGAACAGTTATCAAGCAGCACAGTTCTGCTTTCTATACCTCTTCCCTAAGATGGAAGAAATTGACTGTGAAACAAGAAATTTGAATAAGCTTGGTCTTTCTGTGATTAAGAAAGGATAGGATGCCTTAAGGAATTAAGGGTTTATTATAATGATAGCATAGAGTTGAAGAAATGGGAGAGTGGAGGAAGTGGCTACAGATAAGGTAGGGGCTAAATAATGAAGAGTTCTATTCAACCTTTAATTTGATTTTATTCTTGTAGTGAATTATAGGCTGTTACAGCAGCAAGTGCTCTTGGGGATTGATTCATCTAGCCTGGGAATTTTATAGAGGAAAAAAGTGAGTTGTCTGAGGCAGTTAGTGGCTGCACGAGAATGTAAACAGAGTTGCTTCCCAGGCCGTACAGCTCTACGTGGTTCTTCAATTATTTTTCTAAAATGTCTAGATTTTATTTGCAACTACAAAAGTTCTTCATAGTATTCATAATTGGAGTTTGGCCTCTGGTTTCCTTTTTTGAGGACGACGGGGTTCAGATGTGAAAGGGATAGTAAATAGGTGCTTAGTTATTAGAGCCCTTATAGTGGATTTCTACTGCGTACATTAAAGAACAGCTGGTGCTTTGGTTTTGAAGGTCCCTACCATTCTCTCAGCTGCTTAGCACTTTTACTAAGATTTTTCCTGAATTATAAATCTTTATAATTTTTTTGTGTATTTTTTCCTGAAAATAAGTTTACATTTTATATGTGGTTCTTCATGGGTGGTCTCATACATAGTCCAGCCACTCCTTTCCTTTTTAGCTTTCTTTTCAACCATTCCTCACCTTGAACTTCATGCTGAAGTCACTTTCCTACACATACTGCATTTCCTCACAATTTTGCCTTCAATGTAATTTTCCCCCTTTTTGTAAGTGGCTTGCAAAGCTGCCACTTTGACCTAGGGGTATTCAACTTATTCCCACAGCCTACATTAGGCAACACATCCAGGAAGCTTTCCCTAACTGCTCCTTCCAGTCCTAGGAGGGCTAAATGCCACTTCTCTATTCCCATAGCACCCTGCGTATACTGCCCTAGCATTTTTCAGTAATTCTCTCTTTTGGAAGACTGTAAGCTTCGCAAGGGGTCTTTACTTTTCTTTTTCTTTTCTGATCTTTTTTTGAGGCAGAGTCTCGCACTGTTGCCCAGGCTGGAGTGCAGTGGTGCAATCTTAACTTACTGCAACCTCTATCCCTTGGTTTCAGCCAATTCTTCTGCCTCAGCCTCCCAAGTAGCTGGGATTATAGGCACACACCACAGTCCCTGACTAATTTTTGTGTATTTTTTTTTAGTAGAGATGGGGTTTTGCCATGTTGGCCTAGCTGGTTTTGAACTCCTGACCTCAAGTGATCCATCCACCTTGGCCTCCCAAAGTGCTGGGATTACAGGCACACACCACAGTGCCTGGCTAATTTTTGTATATATTTTTTTAGTAGAGATGGGGTTTTACCATGTTGGCCAGGCTGGTTTTGAACCCCTGACCTCAAGTGATCCATCCACCTTGGCTTCCCAAAGTGCTGGGATTACGGTGTGAGCCATCATGCCAGGCCGACTCTTTATTTTTTTTTATTATCAATGTCTTGCAGCAGTGTCTGGCACAATTAGGTGCTCAGAAAATGTTTGCTCTGTAGCTCAGCTATGTTCCAAGCTATGTTTTGATGTACAGAATTGTTCACAGGTATGCTTATTTGTTGGCATAAGGTACATAACTCACAAAGAATCCTTTCCTTTTAATTCTGTTTGGGAGATCAGACTCATATAAACTTACAGTAGACTGTTCTTCTACCCTGCTGTGCACTGCTCCCTTACATTTTCTGTGCCACTGTACTTCATTGCTTTGAACCTTACCTTGCTGACCCTTCCAGCTAGAATTTGCTTTTTGTTGTTGTTGTTGTTGCTATGCCAAGATCCTACCCTGCCTAGAAAAATTCACATTTTTATTCAACAAGCAGTATCTGTGTGTTAGAAATACAGTGTTATCAAAACAGGATCCCTGCTTTCATGAAACTTACATTCTTAAAGAGATGGAGTCAACAAACAAAGTGATTTCAGATGATGATAAATGTTACACAGAAGATAAACAGTATGATGGAGGAATGAGGAATTTCACTACAATTTGAGTGGTTAGTAAAACCTTTCTGAGGAGATGATGTTCAAGTTGAATCTTGAAAGATAAAGAGAAGTTAGCTATGTGAAGACTGGGAGAAGAACTTCAGGTAGAGGCAACAGCTAGTGGGAAGACTCTAAGGCACAAGTGAGCTTTGTTGTGTTTGCAGAATAAAGAGAAAGCCAGTAGGATTGAACCATAGTGAGAAAGTAGAAATGTGGCATAAGATGAAGTCTGAGAGAGGCACTGGGGACAGGTAGAGAGCCTTGTAGGCCATTTTAAGATGTTTGGATTTTATTCTAACATTATGGAAAACTATTGCAGAATTTTATAAATAGGAGTGACATTTCAATTTGCTTCTCATTTAATGTTTCTCATTCTTGAAGTCTTCTTGAAATTCACATCAGCTAGATTGACTCTTTCCCTCACTCCTCCATTGAACACATACAGGTATACCTCTCTTTATTGGGCTTTGCAGATATTGTGGTTTGTGTGATTGTTTGTTTTTAATAAATTGAGAGATTGTGGCACTGAGCGAGTCTGTTGGTGCCATTTTTCCAATAGCATGTGCTCACCTTATGTCTGTGTCACATTTTGGTAATTCTTGCAATATTTCAAACTTTTATTATCACATCTGTTATGGTGATCTTTGATCAGTGATCTTTGATGTTACTGTTGTAATTGTTTTGGGATCCCACAGACAGTGCCTAAATATGATGGCAAACTTAAGTGTGTGTGTGTTTTGAGTGTTCCACTAACTGGCCATACCCGGTTTCTCTCTTAGCCTTTCTTCTTAGCCTGTCCTTTTTCCTAGTTGCAAAAAGGCTCTTTTAGCTTTAGCATCATGTTTGAGTTCCAGATACGTTGGAGAAGGGAGGTTAAAGAACAAAGGGGACAAAGCTACTGCCTCTAGTCCTTAATTTATCAGTAAAATGAAAGATATTTCAGGAATTTTAGCTAAAGAACTTCCACATATTTTTTTTTTTACATGGCCACCCTAGATGGGCAGGTGGCTAGGGAGAAGGGGACGGTAGATAGAGGCTGAGTCTGCTAACCAACAGTAACTACTGTTATTATTAATTTTTTTTAAAGGATTCATCCAGAGATATTCGAGAGGCTCTTCATGAACTCTTATGCTGTACTAATGTTTCAACCAAAGAAGGGATTCATCTTGCATTGGTGGAGCTGCTGAAAAATTTAACCAAGTACCCTACTGATAGGGACTCCATATGGAAGTAATGACTTTTTTGCCCATTTACTCACTGAGTCCCATAATGTGGTAAATGTACAATGCTGACATTTGTTCTGTCCTTATAGTTTGAGGATAGTATGGCCCTGAATTTTGCCTCTAATTTAGAAACCTGATTCAACTTAACCAAACTCTTAAGAATCTGATTCCTAAGCTGAGTATCACATTTCAGATTACTTATTAATATGTCCATCTATCCACTTAGCAGATACTACGTGCCTGCTGTGTGCTGACTATGCACCAACTCCTATGGTAGCTGTTACAAGTATAGAAATGAATTAATTAGATTTCCTCTTTCTCATATATAGTGGGTTTTTTGTTTTGTTTTGTTTTTATTTTTTGAGATGGAGCCCTGTTCTGTTGCCAGGCTGGAGTGCAGTGGTGCGATCCCAGTTCACTGCAACCTCTGCCTCCTGGGTTCAAGCAATTTCCGGCCTCAGACTCCTGAGTAGCTGGGACTACAGGCATGCACCACCATGCCTGGCTAATTTTTGTTTCGCTTTTTTTGAGACGGAATCTCGTTCTGTCATCCGGACTAGATTGCAGTGGTACAATCTCAGCTCACTGCAACCTCTGCCTCCCGGGTTCAAGCAATTCTCTTGCCTCAGCTTCTTGAGTAACAACTGGTATTACAAGTACACACCACCACACCCAGCTAATTTTTGTATTTTTTTTTAGTAGAGATGGGGTTTTACCATGTTGGTCAGGCTGGACTTGAGCTCCTGACCTCAAGTGATCCACCTGCCTTGGCCTCCCAAAGTGCTGGGATTATAGGTGTGAGCCACTGCATCTGGCCACTGCTATATAGTGTTAATCACTCCTGTGTCTATTTTGCATTTTTGTAAAGAATCAGATCCATCATCATAGAGATTATAGGCAGGGCAGGAGGCAGAGCTATGTAAGATGGGAAATCACAATCATTTTCTCCTTTGATTATCTCTAGTTTTATTCAGTACTATCAACTTATTAACACTGTTCATTAATATAAATATATAAATGTGTTTTCTACATGTTTAAATTAATATAAATTATATTAATATAAATGTGTGTTCTACATGTTTAAATGAGTTTATATGATGAGACCACTTCAACTGTGTATAGTTTGTCTTTAAAAATGTTGTTACTAAAAGTAGAAAAACTATGGGTTGAATCAGCTACTTAGAAAATATATCAAAACTGACCAACATGGTGAAACCTCATCTCTACTAAAAATAGAAAAATTAGCTGGACGTGGTGGCAGACGCCTGTAGTCCCAGCTACTTGGGAGGCTGAGTCAGGAGAATCACTTGAACCCAAGAGGTGGAGGTTGCAGTGAGCCGAGATTGTGCCACTACACTCCAGCCTGGACACAAGAGTGAAACTCTATCTCAAAAAAAAAGAAGAGAAAAGAAAATATATTAAAACTGAAAATACCAGGGCAGTCTTGCTCTAGGAAACTTTTTTGGTGTCTGGTGTTCCATTTTGCCATTCCTTTTTATAGTCCCATTCAGCTCAATTTGACATATATTTATTGAGTGTCTTCAAGAAGCTCTCAGTCATTTGTGGGGTTGCAGTGGCGTTAAACACCTATATAAGTAACTGGAGTTCTGTGGAGACCCAGCATGTCTCCACAGAAGGAAGTAATGTTGGAACATTCTTCAGGCATTAAAATAAGATTTGTAGTTATTTGGTTCACTTAGAATATTTACATAAGGCTATCTTTATTGGGTGATTGTGGACAAAGAACTCCTTAACCACATAGTGCTTCAAAAGCCTTTGAAGTCACCTATTCTAATTTTTTTTTTAACTTTAGAGACAGGGTCTCACTATGTTGTCCAGGCTGGTCTTGAACTCCTAGGCTCCAGTAATCCTTCTACCTTGGCCTCCCAAAGTCCTAGGATTACAAGCGTGAGCTAGTGCACCTGGCCTACTTATTCTAATTATCACTTATGTTTTTTTTTTCACCTTTTCCAATGAATGGTGGCATTATTTAGAAATAAAAAATAGATGAGGCCAGGCATGGTAGCTCATGCCTATAATCCCAGCACTTTGGGAGACGGAGGAGGGAGGATCACCTGAAGCCAGGAGTTTGATATTAGTCTGAGCAACAAAACCAGACTCTGTCTCTACAAAAAATTTAAAAATTAGCCCAGTGCAGTATACATACCCATAGTCCCAGCTACTTAGGGAGGCTGAAGCAGGAAGATTGCTGGAGCCCAGGATTTAAAGGCTGTGGTGAGCCATGTTGATACCAGTCCACTACAGCCTGAGTGACAGAGCAAGACCTTGTCTCTTAGAAAGGAAAAAAGTGATAAAAGAGTAAAGAAATAGAGTGACCTGTTTTTTAAAATGTTGATAAACATAAATGTATAAATGAAAGTTCTGAAGGAGATAGTTTGGTCTGTTTATATATCTTTAGTTCATTCAATAAATGCTTACTGACCACTTGCTATAACCCAGTCAATATGTTAGGTGCTGTAGAGATTTAAAAATGGATTGGGCTCAGACCTAGCCCTAAAATACCAAGAAGGGAGAACGGTAGCAAATATGTGGATAGGGAGGTGAATGAGATAGTAAGAAGTTTAGAATATTAAGAAGCCAGAATTAAAGCCTAGCTTTAGAGAGGCCCACATGTATAGGGGCCTGTAAGGTGACCCATTTAATAGTACTTCTGGTACCCATCTGAGTTATGAATAGAGTAAGATCAAAATAAATGACTGGCACCTGGAAGCTAAAATTCTTTCTTTACAGTGTGCCCTGAGGTATACTGAGTAAAAGTGCTTAGAGAGGCCTGAAAATAAATGAAACAAATTCTTTCCACCTAGAAGGAAAAACAGACTGGGAAAAGCATACTTTCTCAAGAAGATAACATGCTTTAGATTAGATGACTTTCATTCCCCATATACTCAATGAATTTTTCAGTGTTTATTTTCTCTCTCTTTTGCTGATCTACCTGTTCTCCAGTCCCTGGTGAAATCTCCTATGTGACCATCTGCTATGTGAATATTTCTTTTTCTATTTCTTTTATTATTTATTTATTTATTGCATTTTAGGTTTTGGGGTACATGTGAAGAACATGCAAGATTGTTGCATAGGTACACACATGGCAGTGTGGTTTGCTGCCTCCTCATCACTTATATCTGGCATTTCTTCCCATGTTATCCCTCCCCAACTCCCCATCCCTCGCTGTCCCTCCCGTTTCCCTCCAACAGACCCCAGTGTGTGATGCTCCCCTCCCTGTGTCCAAGTGTTCTCATTGTTCAACACCCGCCTATGAGTAAGAACATGCGGTGTTTGATTTTCTCTTCTTCTGTCAGTTTGCTGAGAATGATGGTTTCCAGGTTCATCCATTTCCCTACAAAGGACACGAACTCATCGTTTTTTATGGCTGCATAGCATTCCATGGTGTATATATGCCACATTTTCCCTGTCCAGTCTATCGTCGATGGACATTTGGGTTGGTTCCAAGTCTTTGCTATTGTAAACAGTGCTGCAGTAAACATTAGTGTGCATGTGTCCTTATAATAGAATGATTTATAATCCTTTGGATATATACCCAGTATTGGGATTGCTGAGTCAAATGGAATTTCCATTTCTAGGTCCTTGAGGAATTGCCACACTGTCTTCCACAATGGTTGAACTAATTTACACTCCCACCAACAGTGTAAAAGTGTTCCTGTTTCAAGAAAACAAAAAGTTTTCCTATTTCTCCACATCTTCTCCAGCATCTGTTGTCTCCAATTTTTTAATGATTGCCATTCGAACTGGCATGAGATGGTATCTCAATGTAGTTTTGATTTGCATTTCTCTAATGACCAGTGATGATGAGCATTTTTTCATATGTTTGTTGGCCTCATATATGTCTTCTTTTGTAAAGTGCCTGTTTGTATCCTTCACCCACTTTTGAATGGGCTTGTGTGTTTTTTTCTTGTAGATCTGTTTTAGTTCTTTGTAGATTCTGGATATCAGCCCTTTGTCAGATGGGTAGACTGCCAACATTTTTTCCCATTCTGTTGGTTGCCGATTCACCCTAATGACTGTTTCTTTTGCCATGCAGAAGCTGTGGAGTTTGATTAGGTCCCATTTGTCTATTTTGACTTTTGTTGCCAATGCTTTTGGTGTTTTGGTCATGAAGTCCTTGCCTATGCCTATGTCCTGAATGGTTTTGCCTAGATTTTCTTCTAGGGTTTTTATGATGTTAGGTCTTATGTTTAAGTCTTTAATCCATCTGGAGTTAATTTTAGTGTAAGGTGTCAGGAAGGGGTCCAGTTTCTGCTTTTGGCACATGGCTAGCCAGTTTTCCCAACACCATTTATTAAACAGGGAATCCTTTCGCCATTGCTTGTTTTCGTCAGGTTTTCAAAGATCAGATGGTTGTAGATATGTGGCGTTGCCTCCGAGGCCTCTGTTCTGTTCCATTGGTCTATATCTCTATTTTGGTACCAGTACCATGCTGTTTTGATTACTGTAGCCTTGTAATATAATTTGAAGTCAGATAGTGTGATGCCTCCAGCTTTGTTCTTTTTGCTTAGAATTGACTTGACTATGCGGGCTCTCCTTTGGTTCCATATGAAGTATAAGGTGTTTTTTTCCAGTTCTGTGAAGAAGATCATTGGTAGTTTGATGGGGATAGCATTGAATCTGTAAATTACTTTGGGCTGTATGGCCATTTTCACAATGTTGATTCTTCCTAGCCATGAGCATGGAATGTTTCTCCATCTGTTTGTGGCTTCTCTTATTTCGTTGAGCAGTGGTTTTTAGTTCTCCTTGAAGCGGTGCTTTACATTCTTTGTTAATTGTATTCCTAGGTATTTTATTCTTTTTGTAGCAATTGTGAAAGGCAGTTCGTTCTTGATTTGGCTCTCTTTAAGTCTGCTATTGGTGTATAGGAATGCTTGTGATTTTTAGACATTGATTTTGTATCTTGAACTTTGCTGAACTTGCTTATCAGTTTCAGGAGATTTTAGGCTCAGACAATGGGGTCTTCTAAATATACAATCATGTCATCTGCAAATAGCGACAATTTGACTTCTTCTTTTCCTTATTGAATACCCTTTATTTCTTTTTCTTGCCTGATTGCTCTGGCTAGAACTTCCAATACTATATTGAATGGGAATGGTGAGAGAGGGCATCCTGGCCTAGTGCCAGATTTCAAAGGGAATGCTTCCAGTTTTTGCCCATTCAGTATGATATTGGCTGTTGATTTGTCATAAATAGCTTTTATTATTTTGAGATACATTCCACCAATACCTAGTTTGTTGAGGGTTTTTAGCATAAAGTGCTGTTGAATTTTGTCAAATGCCTTCTCTGCATCAATTCAGATAATCGTGAGGCTTTGCTGAGCTGCTGTGGAATCCGCCCAGCTGCCCTGTGAAATTCTCTGCAGTCCAGTTTATAGTGTTATAGTTAGAACTGCCTCCATAATGGTGGCCCACCTCTGTAATAGCAGACTCTCTGTAATGGTGGACTGCCTCGTCAATGACGGACTACCTTAGTAGTGGCGGACTGCCTCACTAATGGCAGACGCCCCTCCCCTATAGAGCTGGACCGTTCCGGGTTCAGCTGTGCTTGCTGTTAAACTCTCAATCCAGAGCATTTCAGATTACTGTTTTTTGTGGGAATGGGAACGGCTGAGCCTGGTTACCTTGCTCCCTGTCTCAGATCCCCCTTTTTTTTTTCAGTTGAATGGGCGTCTCTGTCTCCCAGGCATCCCAGTCACCAGTTGAAACAGCGCCCGGATTTGTGTGATTTCTTGTGCATAGACCTGCTGCGCCGGCTGAAACAGCTGCTGGAGACTCGTGGCGCTTTTTTGCCGGGGAATTTCCTGGCCTGGCTCCCTGTTTCAGTCCCCTTTTTCTTCAGTTGAATGGGCGACTCTGTCTCCCAGGCGTTCCAGTCACCAGTTGAAATAGACACCCAGATTTGTGTGAGATTTTGTGCAGAGACCCACTGAGCCAGCCGAAACAGTCGCTCTGGGGGCTTGTGGTGCTTTTTTTCCTGGGAATCTTCTGTCCTGGCTCCCTGTTTCAGTCTCCTTTTTATCAGTTAAATGGGTGACTGTGTCTCCCAGGCATTCCAGTCACCTGTTGAAAAGTCACTGGGATCTTTGTGATTTCCCACGTGGCGACCCACTACCCCGGCTGAAACAGGCGTGGATTCATGGTGCTTTTTTGCCTGGGAATCTCCTGGCCTGGCTCCCTGTTTCAGTCCCCTTTTTATCAGTTGAATGGGCGACTCTGTCTCCCAGGTGCTCCAATTGCCAGCTAAAAGGTGCCCAGACCTTTGTATTTTGTGCGGAGACCTGCCGCTCCAGCCAAAACAGCCACACTGGCAACCCGTGGGGCTCCTCCACTTGGGAATCTCTTGGTCTGTGGGCAATAAAAATCCATCTGCAAATGCGATGTCCACTCACCCTCCACGCTCTCACTGGGAACTGCAATCCTGAGCTGCTCCTAATCGGCCATCTTGGATCCCCCTATGTGAATATTTCTCTGATCATATTGGTCTCTTCTACCTTTGACACGAAGAAGTAGAATGTCTTTTATTTGATAGTTCTTACCTTTGATAGTAGTGCTGGTCATCTTTGCCTCAGCTGAATTATAAACTCCACAAGGACAGAATTAAGATATATATGTTTTCAATTTAGTTCCCCCCCCCTTTTTTTTTTTTAATTCTTCAGAGAAGGAAATAGGTTCTGTGATTTTTTTTTTTTTTTTTTTTTAAAGATTTTTTTTTTTTTTTTCTTTTTTTTTTTTTTTTTTTTTTTGAGACAGAGTCTTGCTCTGTTGCCCAAGTTGGATTGCAGTGGATGTGATCTCAGCTCACTGCAACCTCCGCTTCCCAGGTTCAAGTGATTCTCCTGCTTCAACAGGAGAATCCTGAGTAGCTGGGATTATAGGCGCCTGCCACCATCTCCAGCTAATTTTTGTATTTTTAGTAGAGTTGAGGGTTTGCCATGTTAGCCAGGCTGGTCTCGAACTCCTGACCTCAAGTAATCCACCCACCTTGGCCTCCCAAAGTGCACCTTCTAAACCAGAACTTAACAAATAAAAAATAATACGATCGGGTGTGGTGGCTCATGCCTGTAATCCTAGCACTTTAGGAGGCCGGGGCAGGTGGATCACCTGTGGTCAGGAGTTCGAGACCAGCCTGGCCAACATGGTGAAATCTCATCTCTACTAAAAATGCAAAAATCTACCGGGTGTGGTGGTGTAGGCCTGTGATCCCAGCCACTCAGGAGGCCTAGGTAGGAGAGTCACTTGAACCTGGGAGGCAGAGGTCGCAGTGAGCTGAGATGATACCACTGCATTCCAGCTTGGGCAACAAAGCAAAATCCCGTCTCAAAACAAAACCAAAACCAAAAACAAAAAACCATAAAAGATAATAAATATATTTAATTACCTTGCTTGTATTAGTTCCTTATAGTTTATAAAGGACCTTTATGTAGTTATAATAGCTAACATTGAGCTCTTACTATATGACAGACACTTTGGTAAGTACTTTATGTTGGTTATCTTATTTAATGCTTATAGCAGCTCTGTGAAGTAATGACTTTGTTTTTTCTTTTTTTGAGACAGTGTCTGGCCCTGGCTCCAGGCTGGAGTGCAGTGGCACCATCTTGGCTCACTACAACCTTCTCCTCTTGGGTTCAAGAGATTCTCCTGCCTCAGCCTTCTGAGTAGCTGGGACTACAGGTGCACACCAGCACACCCAGCTAATTTTTGCATTTTTAGTAGAGACGGGGTTTCACTATATCGGCCAGGATGGTCTGTTGATCCTGTGATCTGCCCGCCTTGGTCTCCCAAAGTGCCGGGATTACAGGCGTGAGCCACCTTGTCCTGTCTAAAGTAATGACTTTTAATCCCATTTTGTAGATGAAAAAATTTACTTGCCTAAGGCTACTCAGTTTCAGACAGATCTCTGATTTCAGAACTTCACCCAGGATATCAATTAGAATGCTTTTGCCCACAAGTTAAAAAGACAACCTGATTAAAAATGTCTTAGCCAATTGGTCTAAGTTTTTTTCATAAAAAGAAATCAGAAGGTTGGTCTCAGGGTTGGTCATTCAGTGGGTTATCAGGGCTCTTTTTGGTTTCTCTGCAGTTCTCTTGGCTTCTCATAGTTATAAGATGGCTGCCTCATAAGATAGTATCTCAAGACAGAAAGGAAGGGTCATTCCCTTTCATGCATTGCTCTTTTGATTTGCAAAACCATCCCTGAGAAGCTCCCCAGCCAACATACTCTGATGCTCCATTTACTAGAATTGGCTTACTTGCCTACCAGCAAACCAGTCACGGGAAAATGGGAATGGAATTGCCTTGATGGGTTTAGACCAATAGTGTTTCAGCTGATGCGCTGGATTTGCCTTTTCTGAGCACTTTGCTGCCTGCCTGATACCTGAGTAAAATGAGGGCTCTCTCAGGAAGAAAGATGAGGGAAAATGGCTGTTGGTTAAATAACCAGTTCTTTTTTTTTTTTCTTTTTCTTTTTTTTTTT